GGACAATTCCTGGCAGCCAGCACCGCTGGCGCCCGGCGACAGCGGGTGAGGTCAGGCTAGGTTTGTCGGGGTCCCCCCCCAACACACACACACACACACACACAAACAGACACACACACACTGTTCCAAATCTGACTCAGCCAGGCCCAGGCGCCGGGACTGTCCATCAGACACCATTCAGGGTGGGGCCACACCACCGACGCCCCCAACCCAGCCGGACCCCGGGGACCGCACCACATGATTCTCCCCGGCGGTTTGACAAATAAGGAATCCACGGCTGAGCACCGGCGTAGGCAGGGTGGCCCAGCGGGAGGGGCCGGACCAGGACCCACAGGCCCCTGCACCCCTGGACTCCTGCCCAGACCCCCGCCTGACGCTTCACGGAGGCGCCACGGGGCGCTCCCTGCGCACCAGGCACCGGCAGACGCTCCGCATGCTACCGCTCCCCCTCCTGTGCTCAGGTCCCGTTACCGCTGTCCCTTCCCCTGGGATCGCTGAGGCTCACAGCAGTTCAGCCACCTGCCCAAGGTCACCAGGTTGCAAGCGAAAGATCTGGGGTTTGAGCTCACTCCAGAGTCCTCCACGTGCCCCCTGGGATTACGCTGTCCCCGGCCCAGCCCCACCGAGGCCAGCTCAGGGACATGTCCACATCACTGCTTTGCCTTCAACGGGAAGGAGCCAGGCGCAGCCGGCCAGGGACCCACCATCGCCCTCACCAGGGGCAGGACAGAGGGCACGGGGCAGACCCAGTGTCTGACCGCCCCTCCGCCTGCCTGTGTCCCCAGCCGTCTCCAGCCTGGAAGACCCGGGGGTCCCTGCTGGCCGACCAGGGGTTCAGAACTTCCCATGGGTCTCAGACCTTTGGGGAATTGGTGGAAACTGTGGGCTCCCCACTTCAGATAAAAGTTCACACACTCATTTGCCCACAGTTCCTGCTCCATGGCACCCTGAGTCCACCCCGGGGTCCAGCCATAGCCCAGGGCCCCCCCACCCCACCCCCCGCACTGTGGGCCAGCTCTGGGCGCCCTGGCTGACAGCGGCGGGGTTTGTAGCAAGCACAGCTTCCTGCTGCAGCCTCCCAGGGAAGCAGGGGTGCGGCGGGGGGCAGAACTTTGCTGTGAAAGTCAAGCTCCCCCCTCCAGGAGCACAGACCCCCCCGGGCATCAGGCCAGGAGGCAGGGGATCCAGCCCCACAGCTGCCTGCAGCCTGGGGCGGGGGGGCAGAGCTCCCTGCGACCGGTGGCCTTGACTCTGCAACCGGACCTGTGGTGGGTAAATATAGCGCTGCCACTCACCAGCAGAGGGGCCCTCGCCATCCGACATGGTGCAGGAGACGCTGGGGCAGCCAGCCGCCGGCCCGCAGGGACGCTCGCTGGGAGCCCTCCCGGCTGTCACCCACCTGGTGGGGCTTGGGGCGGCCGGCCCTGCTCACGCCCAGTGTCCAGGCAGCGTCCCGCCCCCGCCAGCCAGGCCACCCCCCCATGCTGGGCTGGGCAGATAAGAGCGAGTTCCAGGGGCCCGTGCGATTGGTGGATAAATCTGGGCACTGCCCTCCCTGCCCGGGCCTCTCTCAGCGCCTCCGAATGGTGCCTGAGGAACCACGGCACCCTTGGGTGCCTGGTCAGCCCCCTAAAACCTCAGCCCCAGCCCTGGGGACCCCGGAATGCCTGTACGCCCCCTCCCTGGGATGGTTCCACGTGGTCAGCGAGGGGGCGTTGATGGGCCTTGGAGAGAACGAGTGATACCACCCACTGAGTGTGTGCCCACGCAGGGTTAAGGGGGTGTGGCTGGAGGAGGGAGCAGATCCTGATGCCTAAGGGTCCCTGAGCCTCAGAAAAGTGGGGGGTGGAGTGGCACTCCCCAACACCCAGCAGCAATGCCGCCAGCACCAGAGCCCTGCTGAGAGCCCTGGGGAGAGATGCAGGCGGGGGGCCAGGCCACGGTGTTCCCCAAGGAACCCCCTTCTGGGACAGGGCGGGGGAGAGTGCAGTCACCCCCTGCTGTCAGACAAACAACTCCAAAGTTTGATCCCTAGGAGGTGCTGCCAGACCTCCCGGCCTTTGTCTGTGCTGTCCCCTTGTCAGGAATTCCCTGTCCTCTCCCCCATCCCTCCCTCTGGGAAGCCTTGAGTGACTGCCCCTGTGCTCCTCTCACTCTTACCTCACCGTCGTCAGAGCTGGTCCTGGCTGTGTCCCCTCTGGGCTGGCTCTTGGTGGTCTATATGGTAGTGAGCTCACTGTCCCTGGAGGTATGCAAGCAGCGCCGGACAGCCACTAAGGGAGGACACAGTGGAGAGAGTTCAAGCATCAGGTGGGGTCAGGTTAAATGGCGTTGGGGTCCCCCAGGGCCTTCTGCCATTTTGGCCCCAAAAGTCCCGCCTGCATCCTGGGACCTCAGTTCCAGGCTCTTGGTCAGCCTGGGTCCCTCCCAGCTGACATTTTAAGTGAGAAAATAAAAGACAAAGCCAGAGGAAGATGGTCTCTGGAGCCCTAGAACCCCACCCGCTCCCCCACCCCCACCCCGAAACCACCCGCCTCCCCTCAGGGCCAGGCCTGCTTCTGGGACCCCTCTTGGGGGCGGAAGAGGGGGAACCCTGCCGCTCTGTCTTGGGTGGGTGTGAGGGGACGAAGCGGAGAAAGGGAGCACCTGGGCCTCCTCGCCTGCAGCGTGGGGAGCAGCCTCACCTGCGTGCGGCTTCAGGTTTAGAGGGTTAGCGAGAGGACGCTGCTGCCCTGCCGGGCCTCTGTGGGGGGGCCAGGGAGGCGCACCCAGGGGCCCAGCAGCCCGGCCCTTGCTCCTTCCCTGAGGCTGTAGCGGGTTCAGGGAGGGCGGTCAGACCTGCCTTGCTGGTGGCCTGCGGGCAGGCGGTGGCCTCTGTGTCTGTTTCCACACCGTAGAGCAGGTGTGAGCATCTCCCGTGCACCCGGCCGTGGGCCAGGCTCGGGCAGGAGGAGCTCACGCTGCTGCCACAGGCACGTGCGCTCCCACAGGGGCCTGTGGTCAGTCTTGGGGTGTCTCCTGCAGCCCCTGCCCTGGGCTCCGTAAGTGGAGGGGCTGCGGGACCAGACCCAGAAGCGTGTGGTGTCAAACGGACCTGGGTCGAACACCATCTCCACCAGCCGCCACGGTGACTGGGGCGAGCCTGGCCCTAGCCTCAGTTTCTCACCTGGAAACGGGGGGTGACACCTTCGGACGCTGTGGTGAGGATGAGCACAGGGCCCAGATGCCTTGGAGGCATTCCATCTCCCATCTCCTAGGTCTGTCTGTCCGTCCTGAGTCCCGCCCACACAGACCCCGTGTCCACCCGGCTGGAGCCAGCTTCCTGCGCGCAGGCCACGCCCTCTTCCTGTCTCTGGCCCCGAGTCCCTTCCTGTTTTCTTT